TTCTGCTTCAAAGACTGACTAGGATTTTTTGTTCTGAGAATTTTTTTTTTTCAAGAATCTTATTCAATTTTCCAGTTAATGGTGAAAAGGAGAACAAATGAGTCGTCTTCTCTGAGCGACGAAACTTTTGAGATTCGCCAAACAAACAAACAAATTGATTGCATATATTGTTGTGGTCAACATTTCGCTGACAAAAAATTATATTATTAAATAATGGTTTATAAATCAAAATCAATAACATGTCCACGAAATTATAACCAAATTTTGAATTTGCTTGTTATTCTTGATCTGTTTATTATGAACATGTATAAAAATGTTATTATAGACGACTACGTGTTTCCCAAGTCCCAACTATTAATCCACAGATAAATTATTGTGGACATGATATTATAAATGACTATGTAATTAAAATACATAATTGTAATTATTTGTTAATTTTGTAAATTCTTGCAATTTTTATTATCTAATTTTGTGGATAGGGTATTGTGTATATGTTATTATAGGTAAGTATGTAGTTAAAATGAATAATTATAAAATTTGTGGATAAGTTATTTATAACAATCTCATAAACTATTATCATGTCCACTATATAGCATGTCCACGACTACTTTTTAATTATATGTCAATTGTTTTAATCCACCAATTTATGTTCATGCGCATTATTGTTTTTGACTTGTCCACAGAAAAGTTGTCCACGCGCGTGTTTGGAAAGGTATTTTTGTCACATTTTGTATCAAAAACAAAGAAAATGTATCTAAAAAACGAAAGTGTCTCCTTTGAAATAAAAAAAATACAAAAAGTGTCTCTAAGTGTAATCAATCCCTGTTTTATTATGAAACTGACTTCGCAAATAATATTTAGTATAAGATAAAATATTATTTATATCTATTATACAAGAGAGTTTGAGAGAGAGATCGAGAGTTTGGAAGCGAATATGATTTCTCTCGTCTTTACAAAGATTCCATCCACATGTCCCTTTTTCTGTATTTTTAATTACTGTTACGATATTTGTTTATTTTTCCATGAAGAGATACTACTCCAATCTTCCCATTCGCTTCCAAAAAACGTTTTTAATTTACAATGATTTCAAACGGCATACGATAATTTGTGTGAGTGTTGCTGGGTCTGCGCATAGCTTAAGGATGATACAGTCTTCTCCGTCAATCTTTTTTTCGCCTATACACCTTGCATTTGCAAACATATTCCCTGTGGTTCTCAGGTCAAGCCCTTGAAAGCATCTTGAGAAGAAAGAAAGAAAAAGAAATTGTTTGTTGAAAGAGTAGAAGAACTGAAGAAGACAGGTGAGTGATGATCGCTCTATCTCCAGCTGATATACAAAATCAATCGAACTGGTTTGGTTTGCTCCGATCCGGTTTATTAAACAAACAAACAAAACTATAGTTTTTTGAACCGGTATAACCAATTAAAAATTTGGAAAATGGAAACCATGGACATGAGCAAAATCTCTAATTGCAATACAAAAGATAAAAACACCAAAATCCAAATAAACTTTAACTTGTTCAACAACCAAACAAGAAATCAAATTAAACTTGTAATTCTGCTTCTTCTCTTGGACCTTGAGGAACCGAGACCAAACTTGGAAAATATAGGTGCAATGCAAAGGCCAATGATCAACCACAGACTCTATTTTGATTTTGCTTATCAACTTATTTTCCCCCATAACATAGATCCAAGCCCGGCCAGTCTCATCGCAACAACACACGACAAGCCTTTTATCATCGATGAAGTAACTTGGATGAGAGTCGGATCCAGTCTGTACCAAATCCGGCAAGTTAGGAACTGACACTTGCATGAAAGTCATCCAAACCACATCATTAATAACATCATTGTTAATCTTGTTCTTGGTCACCCAAATCTCAATCTTCTTTGTTACGTGGCATTGCTTTAGCAACGAAAACTGATCTCCCTTGAAAACCCCAAGGACAAGAACATCGCGAGGATGGTTCTTACCACATGGTAGAACACAAAATTTGAAGAAACATTCGCTCGAAAAATCAAATCTATGTACGTGGTACAAGGGATCGGTCTCTTCATAAAAAGAAACCCATTACATATTTTCATTCAACAATACACAATATCCTTCTGACTTAGCCCATTTTCTTCCCTGATTACTACCACTAGATCCCAAATTGAGGTCTTTCCACGCATCGGTGGCAAAGTCATGGATTGTCCAAACATATTTTACGGTCTAATATCTTCCACCCAATGGTCTTGTAACCGGTTTCCTTAAGTCTCTTACTACTATCATAGCCTATGCCCTGGAAAACCCAAAACAGACAGACACTTGATCATTGTGGTCTGTTTCAACCACGGGTTCCAAACCGGATCAATTTCTCTGGTGACCCTAAAAGATCAAGTCCATTAACAAATACCCTCATCTTTACTTAGATTTATTTTCTATCTTTATTTAAATCGAAACGGAAGGAAATGACAAAAAAAAAACAGAAAAAGTGAATTATTTACCGACCAACCATCTATTACCCACCCAAAACATATCTCCACCCAATCAAGTCGGATTTTTAACTTAAAAAAAAATAGAAATCCCTAATTTACAAA